TGTAACTATTGCAGCAGAGAAATATTGCCAAGAAATTGCAAAAAAGCACGGGAAACTGCAACGTCTTTGTCCAGCATCGGTAAACCGTAAGGGGCCGATTATTCTTCACGATAATGCCAGGCCACATGTCGCAATGCCAACCCTGCTGAAATTTAAGGACTCAAGATATTAAACTTTACCTCACCCTTCACATTCACCTGATCTCTCGCCTACAGACTTCAATTTATTTAGGTATTTTGATAACTGCTTGAGGGATTAGAACGCCTTCCAAGACTTGATTGTGAGTCGAAATAAAGATTTTTATGTCAACGAAATAAAAGCGCTTATTATAAGTTGGCCTTATTAAATTTACAATAATTAGATTCTAGGTATATCCTGGCAAATATTTCGAATAAATTTTCTTTATTTTGTAAAAAATGAAAAATAGTTATGACCGCCTTTTCAAAACCTGCGTTATTTTTGCACCAGATCAAAACAACATTAATTTAAGTCTAATATTAAATAAATGGCGATTACAAATAACTTGTGAATCCTATGAAAGACTCAGAAGATTTCTAGCTGTTATTACAGTGTGTTTAGAATCATTCCTTGAGTTTCGGGTGATCGACAAACCTCATTACTTTTAGGAAATTCAAATAAAACTTGTCAACTCGACCTCAGTAAGGAGAAAATATATATATAAATATATATATTTTTCAACTAATGTACTTTCTAAATGTGAAAAAAAAGTTATTACCAAGTTTATTTTTGTGGCCTACAAAAACATGATATTGCTAATTCTGTTTGTGCCCTCTGAAATATTAAATTTTTTAAATTAAATTTGCAATAATTAGATTCTAGGCATATATTTAAAAGTTCTTTTATATCGTTTTTATTTTATACTTTATAATATATCTCTTAAATATGTGCCATGAATCTAATTATTGTAAATTTAATAATAAATTTATGTTATGAAAGGGTTGCCAATAGTGGGACCCCTCCGCCCTCGTGCCGAAATATTTATGTATGAAAAAATCTATTCAATATTCAAATCAAATAACAAATTAACTAAATCTATGCACTTTTGGAAACGCTAAGATATATCGTCGGGAACCATAGAAGATCTAAAAGAATTTGTTTACACCCAAATATGAACTTTATATTGGAAACAAATGAAGGTTGATTAAACTTTTTAGATTTAAAACAGTCCATAATAAACAATATAATCGAATTAGACGTACGTAGAAAGGCAGATTCTTCTCATCCATGGAACTATAAAACTTCTGGATTTATTTGGTTCATACGTTCTTGTTGGAACTCCCATTAACACCCGTTAATTATAAGGAAGAATTGCAAACAATTAAAACTAGCTAAAAACAACGGTGGATACACAAGTCACTCTTGTAATTTACGTCAAGAGACGTGTTTGTAATTTCTTCAACTTTAGCTTAATGCTCGAAATCCGGATCGTTGTAAAAACAAATCTGTGAGTAAAACCATGCTTTACAAAAATGAATCGATATACTCACTCCATCTTTATTATTTCTACTTGATTGCCCATGTATTTGCCCAGTAAAACTTGATAATTTGTTTATAACATTTTAACCCAGTTTTTTCGTATTCCTAATTATAATGTCCCGTTTGAACGTTCAATTTAAACTTTACATAGGAATGTTGTATAGCTCAAGCTCCAGTCTTTTGTGTAAGTCGTCAAATCGTTCAAAATAAGTTTTAGTTTAACTATTATATAAAATATTTATTAGCTCAGGAGAATGAATCTCTGTTTCCCAAGAGGGTCAGGTGTTATCGCACGTAGAAAATGGATTTTGTCAGTGGTTAGGCTTGTTCGTTCCATCCGTGAAATGAGCCGTTGATTTATCGCCGGTCAAAGAAATCCTGTTCCTCAGGCGTTGGATTACAAATAAACAAGGTAATGTCTACGTGTTTGAAACTTTCGAGCCCTCTGCGACATCATTAGCAGGGCAGTTAGTCATTTAGACGTGGTTCAATCCATTATCACCGCATTCCACAACTCCAAAAATTCACTATGGCCCGTTTTCGATCGCTTTGGTATTTTTAACAGCTGTGAGAATGGAGGGTAACTAATTCCAGGTTGATTAACTGGAAAAAGCGCTGACGGTGGTAAATCAATTTATTATAAAAATGAAATATAATATTTATGAACTAGATCTCTGACGATAAGGTGGGTGTAATAAATTCATTAATGGCGGCAGAGAAATGCCTTGTAAAAGGAAAATACTTCACCTCCGCACTTAACCGATTAAGATAATGCCCAGTTATTACGGCTCTTGTATGATTTACGACCTTTCAGTCGGGGTACAACCGAGGCTATGAGAAAAAAATTCCAAATAAAAAGGCGAAAAGTTGTATAATAGCTTACAATCTACGACCCGGGCATACAATGTCTAATTAACCATTCTTCGTCGCGGCTAGACAAATTGTTTGAACAACGCCTCTAATGATAATGACGACAAAATGAAAATTCGTTTTATAGACGACGATTTATGCGATTATTCGCTAATTGCTAGGTATTTATTTCAACTCACGTTCTATAAATCACTATAGTACAATTCTATTACATTATCATATATAGAAAACTTTATGTTCTGTCTAATCTAAATCTGATGTGTTTTCCCTACTTGCTGCATATTTGTTTGTGTAAGTTTCCCTGTAAAACTCCATAGGAAAAGACCAAACAATCAGCAAAACAACAACAGCAATTAATAAAAAATAACCTAATTTGGTGGGCCAGTATATTCCGCTAAAATCCCACTCACATACATATTCACTCTATCAACCGATCACGCTAGTAAATACTTTCGATAATAAATATTCAAAGCAATAAAATGATTAATCTAGTTTAGTACTGCATTTACCACGTACTCACCCTTTCACTAAAACACTCTCGCTAATAAATACATTAATACATGGGAAAAACAACGTGTGGAAAGCCAGCTGTGTCTTATGTTAGAATTTCTTTTGGTTCAAGGACCTAGTCGTTCGCGATTGAATTTTTCGCCTTCGACTAATAATGTTTTACAGTTATTTGGGTGCTAGGCAAGGGGCATCTCCGAAGACTTTTGTTATTTAGGAGTTGCCCATGCGTAGTTTTGGTGTGGCCAATTCGTAATCGGGTCCTTACATCATTTCCTGTCTAATTACTGTCATTGAATGTTTGTAATACATGTGTTTGAGCTGTTGATAATTTGTTTATATATGGGAATTTTAGTGTTCGATGTATTATCTTTGTATAGTCCCGTGTTTTCGAGTATGCTCATTTCTCGTCTGTTTTGCATGTCTTGAGTAGTTTCATGCTTGCCTTATTGATATTTCGTGGAAGTGTTCTGTAGGGTGAGAAATGTAAGTCAATTTTTATTCGTTCTCCCTAAATGATCTTACATATTCTTTGTCTATGTAATTTTAATGATTGCCCAGAAGGTTCGGTGTATTCATTTTTTTAATCATTGTTCATCAATAAACGAAGGAACCATGTTTTTCTTTGGTCATTTCAATGTCACTGCCAGTTTCAAAAACCATTAAAATGCACCAGGTTTGAATCACCAATTCCATAGATGACTGTTTTCAGTTCAACAGCCTTTGACATTAAAAGATTGAACAACGGAATTAGGAAGATATCAATCTCGGAGTCAACTGTTAAAAGAAGGCTAAAAACGTCCAACAAATCAAAAATGTAGTGAAAAGCCAAGTACACCGCAGAGGTGGACTGAGATTTCAAGAGAGCACAAATCTAGTCCTACAGAAGAACGGAAAAAGTCTATTCGACGATAATGGCCCTAAACAGCCCGGATGGACGAGACACAGTCTGAAGAAAACCTGGAAAATGATTCAGTCAGTGCTGCACGTGGAAACTGTGATGTTTGAAAAATCTAAAATGTTCTGGGGTGGCCTTTCTAGGGAGGCACGTACCGTGATGGTACCAATATAAAGGGGGCTTATAAGCCTTAATGTGCGGAGATGATTCCACGAAATTATTGAATATGAATGATAATGCTTGGCCACATACGGCAACAAGTGTTTCTGGGTATCTGGACACGACACCTATCCAACCCTTGGGTGACCAGCAAGAAGTCCGGACCTTAACTCAATTGAACACGGGATAAAGCTCCTACACTACCTGTTGCATGGTTTTAGTGGACTGTAGGAAATAAATGCACAAAATATAGTGAATAAAAATAAAAATTAACGATGATGGGATAAGGGATGGGAAACATTACGTCGTCTCGGCAAACTCCAGCGAGAGCTTCAGAGGGTGGTTTCCCAAGAATCGCGAGAGAATTAAAATAATTAAATATTTTATTTACGCTATGGACGATCTCCGGAAATCACGATTTTGGTCGGGCATCTCGCCGACTGCGATACAAGGACTAACGCCGGTCAAAGCAAAGTTGGACCGAACACCGGCCTCCGGTCCAGAGTTCAAAGGGGGTAAACACTACCCATGAAACGCAAAAGATGGGAAGGGTAGGACAACATACACCAGCATTTCGTACATAAACGTTTTATGAGTATGTCAAAAAGAATAAAAGCAATACTTCTTAGTAAATGCCATTTTAATTTTAAAAAATTGTGTTCAAAAAAGAAAATTATGTTAACACAGATATTGCTCTAAAATACAAAAACCTCAGGGAGTTGCTATTTTTGTACAGGAGTGCATATAATTTGCTTGAATACTTAAATTATTTTCCTTGAATGGACTTAGTTGATCATCTCTTGCTGCGTTAAACGAGATGCTTTGCTTATATTTATAAAAAAGCATGAAAGCCACAAAGTTTCGTTTATATAAAGTATAAATAATTGCTCTGAGAATCATACCAAGTAAAATTTACATTTAACAGGTTTTGGTGTTAAACTCCTTTACCTTTAATAATAAAACCGCTAAAAATTTCGAAGCTATAAAATATTTATTGGTTACTAACTCATAAATTCATAATATTATGTGTTTTGTCTACATTGATATAATTAAATTATTTTTGTTTTAGATACATTTTTGGTATAGAACATATTACTACTGGACGTGAAATGTAAATCAGCGTAATAACTGTACAAAGGTAGATTTTGTTGAAATTAAAATCATTCCCTTATTTTTATATAATTTACGTCCCACAGTGTTTGATGTGAATTTATTTCAGAAAAAAAGTCGGAACTGGAGTGGTTGGATTTTTAAGTGAGATCGGCAAAGGGGTGCCAACCATTCTTTTGATGTCCTAATGGCACTTGTTAAACGGTGTGAATTTCAGCCAGTATGCAGGTTATTAAGCGCCGGTAGCATAAACGCCAGAAAACATTTCTTTTCAGATTTATCGCCCATTTGAATTCCGTTCACCAACCATTAATGTCCAAGTTGGAACACGTTTCGTTTCTTCTTAACGCCTTTGAAGTAAACATGCGGAAATGAGGTAAAGTGAAGCAAAACTCTTTCACACCTTACTTAGACGAAATTTGTATTTGTTACTGTTTTTCTCTCTTTAGAATGAATACTCTGCCCTATTGGTATGTCTTGCGTTCTGCATGATGATGAGCCTGAAGTTGGTGGTTTCAGATCATTTTGGGCTTTATTTTTCCTATTTTGCTCTATTACTCTTTTAAAAATAATGCACATGTGCAGTCTCTAAAATAATAGTTTACCTAATTAAAAGGAAAATGATATCACATGTTTGTATAAGTATATTGTGTATATGAAAGTATGTCGCACAATGACACATTTACAAAGCTTGAAAATATGAAAAATTATGAATAGAGATTGTTGTATTCGAATAAAATAAACTTCTGATTTCTAAATGATTTTTTTTATATATGTGAGCTAACAGTGAGTTTCAAATTTGCGAGGATCGAAATCCTTCTCCATCATAATTATACTTTTATCAAATCTTTCTGTTGATTTTTGAAATACTAGTATGTAACAGTTGACAACAGATAGCCAGGTGATATTTCACAATGGCCCCAGGGAGAGACCCATCTCACTAACCGGACGTAAAGAAGTCGAAGGAAACTGCGCGTTCCCCCGCCGACGGATTTATGCCCAAGACGTACGTCATTGTTTGGAAGATACAGAAGTTTTCCCGACGAACTAATAAGAAAAGCGATATGTCTTCGCCGTGTTTATTCAGCCGTCGGACGAGAAAAATATAGAGCGAAAAGAAAAAAAAGCCATATGCCTTGGATGGATGTTTGGCCTTTGTTGTGGAAAATACGGCCGGAATGTTTAAACTTGTTCCCATAAATCATCTCAGTTTAAAACATTTTAAAGGACAATTTAAATTCTCCCTAGGCAAACTGTCAAACGAGGCATACAATTCAACTCAATTATTATACTTATTTCATTTTTTAAAAAAATTCAACATTCCTTATGAAAAAGTATAACTACCAACTTCAATTTACTCCTTAGTTTTGATGCATTGTTTGAAGTTTAATATGTAAAAATTTTAAAGACAATATTAATCATTTTTGACAGTTAAATGCTAACCTAATAACAGGTGCTACCCAGCGAAGCTTATGAAACGTCCCAATATGTCAAATATTACTAACAATTGCAGAGTGTAAACCGCTGAGTTGTAGGCGATCTGGCATGCCCTTGAACTTGGGCAATCCTGGGAGAACTCATCCTACCTCGTGTGCACTGATTCCTCGAGTTAAGACACAGGTTCTCGATGGATCCTCCAGTCGTGCTTTATTCGATAAGGTAAGTTGAAGTGCCTCGGAAAATCGGGAGTGGTTGTCTGGGTACCTGGATACGTCGGGGTGGAAGGCAACGAACGTGCAGAATAAGCGGCGAAAGCTGTTGCTGCATTCTTGTGTGAAAAAATTGAATACTTTCTAAAAATAAAATATGGGGTAATTATAGTTTTGTGTTGAGAGTAAATGTATTTGTTGGCGTAAATATGTAGTGTAAAAGGACTGATGGCGGAATATCGAGCACCCCACCACCCTAATTGAGTTAATTGTGTTGTAAATAGGAAAAAAATATATTTAAGAATAAATGAGAGTATGATTGAGTTTGAATATCTAAGGAACTGCACGCGTTAAGTGCTGAATTGACTGAGGCGTGGACAGCACCCGGAGCTCAACCTACATTGCGACAGGTCCTAGGAGGACAAGACCGACGTCTGACAGCAGACTGCAACACTCGAAGTAGGTGATTCACTAGATCTCCAAAATGAAATTATATTATTATCGAAATTGTTTATTTTATATTTCACCGGTTTTAAACTAACGGAGGAGATCATCGGGACGCCTCGTGAAAACTGGAAATTGTGGAAAGATGGGTAGAGTTGGAATGAAAATGCGGGAAAAACGTCCGGTCTCTGGGTTTTGGATACGTGGGGGGCTAACTTAAGGGTAGGAAAGGGAAGGTTTTCAAAAACAAGGGTAAGGTGAGCATTTTCGAGGTTTTGACAATGGAGATTGATCGTTGGCGCCAACTGAGGGGACAGGATTTAGGATCAGAGGGATAATGGACAAGAGGGCGAACTTGACTCTGCCCGGAGCCCAAACATATAGTCATTTATATTTTACATTTAACCAATTTGTTTACATTTTCATTAGATGCGTCCGAAAGTAAAAAATATGACAAATTCGACAAACAACTCGCATTTTTTCATCGGATCTTCTAAAATTTATTCTTGGTTTCTGATATTGTCATGTTACAAATGTAGATTGTATTTTTATTCTACTTGCAACTGTTAGTTTCATTGTAAATATATTTTCATAATTGTTATCCTTATATAAATTGTTAATTATAGTATCAAAGTCTTGAAGAAATTGAGAAAGGGACGACCAGCTAGGTACACACGGATTTGGACCAAACTTTTTTTTGTGATTCTACACTCCAAAATATCGGACACGTATCCCATCTCTTTTTGTAAATGGGGCTTGGTTTCTTGTGGTTTGTTTTTAAAAGTTGAAATCTTCCGTTTTTTAATGCTTTTATTTCGCTATTCTAATTACTTAAATCAACTATGTGATTATGTAATTTTACAGCTTTGTTTGCAGATTGCAATAAAAATATAGTAAAAGATATCAAAGCTTATCAATAACCAAAAAAAAAAAAATTAAAAACCAAATATTTTTCAAGTAATCTACGTAGGTCATAGATTGATTTTCGTTAAACAAATATGAAATTTGGTTTTGGGACCTCTAGAGACCACTAAATATAATTTTTTGTTGGAATTTAAATTTAACCATTTTTTGACGCCTAAAATATCCGATTTTTAAGAAGTCGAAGTATAATAAGCAAAGTAGGTCAGAAAATGACCAAAACTTGGATTTGTCCACATTCTCGTGATTCTAGCGTTATAAAACCCTTAGAAACCGACCTTCGCTGAAATCTTATAAATTAATATTTCTACTGATAATTTCGACAACCTTTCGGCGTAACTAGTGTAAGATCTAGGACCATTTTTCTTTAAAGCTAGAGAACTGATTTTTAGGGATGATAATTCGTTTTTAAAAAATTGTCAAGTGCGTTTTACAGCTGTATAAACCATTAAAATCAGACTATTATTAACATTTAAAAACGAGGTTAATTTCTGACAAAAATATTTTATAATTTTATGTATTTTCTTATAGAAACCATTTGTATATTTTTATGGTACGTATGTCGTTAAAAAGCTACGTTTCTCTTCTTTCAAGTGGTATGTTTGAAAAATCCTTTTAGCCGTTTGTGAATTATAGCCGGTTTCAATCGGATATATAGAAAGATTTGGGGCCAAAAAATTGGTAAATTTAAATTCCAACAACAATTGACATTTTGGGTCTCTAGAGGTGCTAAAATGAAATTTCATACTAGTTTCAAGAAAATTGTTTTTTAAAACCTATTTACTTGAAAAATATATTTGGTTTTTAGAAATTTTTTATTAATATGATAAACTTTCATAGCTTTAGCTATACTTTTATTGCAATCTACATAAAAATGCTGTGAATGATATATTCACATAGTTGATTCGAGGAAGTAGAACGGCGAAATAAAAATATTTAAAACGGAAAATTTCAACTTTCAAAAAAGTTTTTGGGCGAAACCAGGGTATCATATCAACATGAAGTGGCGGATATGTACCCAATATTTTGGAGTGTAAATCACCAAAAAAAAGTTTGGTCCAAATCAGTGTAACACCGACCTGGTCGTCCCGTTGTTAGTGTTTTCTTTGAGACCCTGACTTTTTAATACAACATTGAATCATATATTTAATAAAGTTGGTTAATATGCAGTAAAATAATTTATACTTTTACACTTTTATCAAACCGCTTTTAACTATGAAATTTGGTTTGAAATCTTTTTTTTTGGGACAAAGAGGACAGTTTTTCGTTTTTATCTCGGACAAAACGAATCATAAAGCCTCCAATTGAATCGGGCCAAATTAAAGCTGGACAGAAAGGGCGAATGGAAGTGTATGAATATGTAAGGAAGGCGTTGACTGCGTATTTCAACAGTCCCAACGAGTGCGAAGAGTGCAGAGCTGCGCGGCGATCCCGACCGGAACTGCGGGACTTGTTTTTGGCCAGAAGCCACGAGGGGTAGGCCGCCCTTTCCGCACTTTCCGACAATCCTTGTTATTCGCTGCGGGGCGACAACAACCAGATTTTTTTACAAAACAGTTCCGCAACTCCGGTTCATTGGTATCTCTGCGGGTCGGTTGGTAAATTGGGTTTCGTTGCAAAGCTGTATTTTTTCTACAATGTCCAACCCCCAGGCATAACAGAATTTATAACCACTCAACAGTTAGAAATTTAAAATAAGCGTAATGAATTTAATTCTAAACTTGAACAACATTTATAAGCGGAGGATTTTTACTCTATTAAAATGTATTTCATTCTCTAAAAATTGTTGGACATTTTTGCCTAATGTTTTATTAATTATCAATTTGCATGAAATATTTAGGTTGGCTAATAAGTTACAAAAAACTGATTTTTTTAAATGGTAATTAAGTTTTTAACCCTTTCAACCCCGAATTATACGTCAAATTTTATTTTATTTTTTAAGGGCGTAAAACAATTTTTTTAAATTATTTGTGACCTACCATTGTGAAAATGTGGCCCTGAGTAACAGTGGGGTTCAAGAGAAAGAAATAACAATTGTTTTCTAATTTTTTCTTTTGAATAAACTAAAAAAATAAGTTAGCAAAAACATCGTTTTTGAAAAATAAATTATATAATATAGTACCCTATTTTTTTTTTCCTTTGTCGGTTATGTATTGACCATGAGTGATCCCCGAGGTGATGACAGGCGACTCCCGGGAGCCACAGACCCAGCCACAACCCCAGCACGGTAGAAAAGAGGGCTTACCTTCCGTATAAAATAGCAAACACATTAACAAGCAATTAGCTAAAAAAATAACTAAGTAAGAATAAGTAGAACTTAACATACAGAATAAACATTTTCGACCGGGTAAAATAGTCTATTCAACTCCAGTTGTAATCTTCCCTGGAAAATCTTATCTATTTGACCTTCTAATCAAAATCTAATGTTTAAAACAAATTAAATCTCTAAATCTGATGAAGTAAAGCGATGATAACAACCAGTTAACTCCAAAGAGATGTTGATGTTATGGAGATCAGGTATGTGGTCTCTTTAACAACAAAGTACCACTATAACTTTGCCACGCTTTCGATCTTTTATTTGATCTTCATCAGGGCTGTATAACAATTGTACTCACAAAAATTAATTTAAACTGAATGGAAGACAATATTATTTATAAATA